GTTGTTCATAGTTGCTTGTATAATCCATATAATTAATCCAGTTGAAATGATTTTTGATCGTTGATAAATTAGAAGTAACTTATTTAATTTTGATTAATAGATTTGATCGTTCGATGAAAAATTGTCTAATGTAAATATGATTTTATAAATTGAAAATCGATGTACAAGATTGGTTTAGTTTTAGATTCTTTATATTTAGTTTTAGTTAATTTTACATTGATAGAAATTAGATTTCTTAAAAAACTTATATTTTTTTGTATATCTATTTACATTATATAATATAATGTTATTTTTGTTGTTTGAATATTTATATTGAATTATATTCATCAATTTAATTTGTTAAGTACTATTTTTATTTTTATTTTCTTAGCATTTATGTATATTAGATTGATAAAAAAATATAAAAAGATAGAAAAAAATAAAAATTATATCAATGTAATGTCTTTGGCAAAAATAATATTGTGATGTAATATACTTTTAAGAATTATTAAATAAAAAAAAAAAGAAAAGAAAAGAATTAATATACAAAAACATAATATCATACAAATATGGTTTTTAATTTTTTTCGTAAATATTAAAACTGAATTTTGTTTTTATTTGTTCTTGTGTATTAAAATTAATAATAAAATACATAAGAAAATATTAATGTGTAATATTGATTCATATTATTAATAAATGATATCCAGATGGAATATTATTTTTCTCTGCATAAGAATAGAAAATATTGAGTACAAGTGAAATAGAAAAGATAAAGATTTGTTATTGATTTGATTGAATGTTTAATAATCTGAAATTCAAATTGATTTAAGTATCATTAGTACTTAAAACTTTCTTGTTCATACGAAAATAATTAAAAAACACATGTAATCTTTCTAATTCGAAATCTTATATAAAAATATGTTTTGATTTGCTTCTATGAATTTCGATAAGTACAGCAGATTGAATAAAATACAATGATTCATTTATTTTTAAATAAAATATTGTGTAATCATCGTATAACTTTAAATTATGAAATTTAATATGATTTGTCCGAAATAAGTTTCTATTAAATAACAAATCACATAGATTTCAATTTATATATTTAAAATTTTTTTTAACAATATAAAAATGTTGTACAATTATATTACATGATATTTATATACATTGTATATTACCTTACACTGAAATTCATTTGAAATAATCAATTGTATATAATATCAGTATATTTATTTTTATTGAAAGGCTCCGCAAGCGACACGGTACTATCGCGCACCTCTTTTTTTCTTTCGCCATCTCATTCTATTTAATACAAATTTAAAATGCTTATAACTCGTTAATTAAGGACATATGTGTATGGACATATGTGTATGAACTTTTTTCATTGTTTAAAATCCATTCTCCAAAGATATCCTACATTTTTACGAACAGTTTATTAACATATTGTATTATATATATTGATAATATTATATTGTATAATATTGATATAAATTCTTGAAATAAATAATTTAAAAAATTTATTTTAAAAATTTAATAAAGATAAAACATCAATTATATTATTAAATATAATTTTAAAAAAATTATAATATGTGTTATTTATTTAATTATATTGATATATAATAATTTCTGAAGTTTAATAAGATATAAGCTATATTAAATGCTAGGACTTAGGTGCTCAGATTGGATTATGCTTTTTTAAATTGTTTAATTTTTAAATTATAAATATAAATATTTGTTAAAAGAACCAAATAATAATTTAAATTTAATTTATTGAATAATTTTTTAAATTAAATGAAAATTTATTCAAAAATTAAGTATGAAATATATTTTACTCCTTTTGAGAAAATAAAATATTATTTTAAAAAAGTATATTTGTTGAATACTTAAAATATATATTTATATTTTTTTCTTCAATAAATTTATTTTTAGTTTTATTTTAATCTATATATATATAAGTATATTTCGTATTCAAAGTAGCTAGAATTAGAAATCTGTATTAATAGCGAACAATTAGTTTTCTCTACTGTAATATGTTTGATTAGATAAAGAAAATAGCACAATGTCCTATTTTGTAACTCGAGCAACATTATTTTATTTTAATTTCCTATCAATGTTCAATGAATATGAGTTAAACATCAGTTTACGAACAATCACAATCTTAATATAAATAGATTTGCAATGATACATATATGTATAAATTATTCCTTCAAAAATTCTAAAATATACTTAGTATCATATTTAATATTTATATTTCGGAATATATTTTAAACAAATATATTTAAAAAATAAAGAATATTTATTCTCTTTCAATCATAATGAATTCCTCGAATAGATAAATGATTTTTAAATATTTCATAATTAATAATTAGTAATTAATTTTAACAATAATTATTGAGAATAATTACTTATTCATTTTAATGCTGCTAAAAATATGTTGTCAATATTTTTAATTTTGAAAAACTTTTTTCTATATATATAAGCACTATTCATTATATAGTAACAGCCTTACTTTTTGAAACATATTGCAAAAATGTTTGTATATATATATAATTATCCAAAAATTATTCAAAGTTTGGAATTTAATATAAGATGAATAATATAATATAAGTTTAAATATTGAAATGTATTTCAATTAAATTTCTAATAAATTTCTAAATTAGATTTAAATTAAATTAACTTATATAATTATTATCCTATATAATTATCTTTATTTTCATTCTATATTATTTTTTTGTTAATTCTTCTTTCTCGTATTGAAGAATTTAACTGTAAATAGATAAACATTATTATTATCAATAATCAGAAGCGAAAGTTTGTTTTCATTAAATAGACACGATTCTCGAAACGAATCGAAAAAAATCAAGAACGAAATGACTACACAGCCTTCTTCTTCTCCCAAATCATCAGATCAGAAGTGTTTCGAGCATCGAAGATCGATCGGAAGATCATAGGTCAGCCTTCGAACGTACCTTGAAAATAGAACGTGGTTACGTGGTTAGTACAGGTTTAGACTGTTTCTATTTCAATTATTGTCGCGATCAGGCAATTTGCTGGCGTTTAATCGATGCCGAATCGCCGCTGCTTGCTTCGGGCCCAGATTATAATTCTTCCGCGTGTATACATGTAATGTATATGTGTATATGTGAGAGATAAAACGAAGTGAAACGAAGCGCGTGCGCGATCATCGAAGATCTAGATCGGAACTTTCCAGCCGTTTGTTCAGGAATGTTGATTAAGGTGTTAATTAAGCGGCGCCCTGGATGGAAAAATGATGACTAGTAGAAACAAGATGAAAATTTATTTTTTAACATGAGTTTCGTTCTCTCGTAATGCTTTTTCGATATATGACTAGATGGAAAATAACTAGAAATTAATTAACGAATTTTTCTTGTATTATCTATGTAATGTTTTGCTTTCAAAATTTTTTAATAAGAAATTGAATTATTTTTTACATTTTTATAAAATTATGATTAAGGAAATTTTATATTTCTTAGTTCTAATATCCTTTCTATATATTCGTTATATTTAAAAATAGTTTTTTTATGAATAATCAAAAATATCGATAAATGAAGATAATAAATAAAAAATAGTAATAATAAAATGAATGAAATTAAATACGAGTTTTTATAAAAGAGAAAAATAGGAAATATTTTTTGAAATGAAAGTTTTTGAAATGAAAAATGTAATAAAGTAATAATAAAATAGATAATAAAAAAAAATAAAACTTATATAATAAATTATATAATATATATTACAATAATAATAAGAATATTTTTTTATAAATAATATAAAATATAATGAAAAATAATATATACTAAAATTAAATATGATTTTTTATGAAATAAAAATAAAACAAAATATTTATAAATAATTATAAATATTATAAATAGTTTTTATAAAATATTTTATTCTATAAATAGAAATATTTTTTTCTATGAAGAATCTTCTTTGCTATTAGAGAAATATCTTTCTATACTTAAAGAAAAATTAAAATCATACATTTGTAATTTCGTCTGTAATTTATAAATTGCGATATTGTAAAAAATCGATTATATAACAGTCATTTTTTTTCAAATTTTCTAAATCTAGAATTTTAATCGACAATCAGAATTATTTGATAAAATTTCGATTAAATAACGAAACTTAGAAAGTCGATTATATTTTAAAATATATAATTAAAACATAAAGTCTTTTTCATATGATTTTTTAGCTTTAAAAATGATTCATAGGAGATTTAGATGAAATTTATTTTAAATAATTTGAAAATAATTATTTCAAAAAGCACTAATTATATATTATTTAAAAATATATTTTAATTGTTATCATATTTCTTATTTCGTTAAATAAAAGAATTTAAAGGAAGATATATTAAAAATAATAAACTGAAAAATTGATTATTTATGTTAATATTGTATATTCTTTAATTGAAAATTTATTTCTGAATTTTCAAAGTAAATAATAATATTAATGAAAGAAAAAAATAATAATATAAATGCATATTAAAAATTTGTTATTTTCATCAAAATCAAATAATAAAATAACAATAGAAAACAAATAATTTATTTTATAAAATAATCAAAAATCATTTAAATACATTAATTCATTTTTTCTAAATTAAATATTTTATAAAATATTAATATAAAATAATTTTAAATTTTTTTTAAAAATTTTGGTTTTTAATGACATAAGATATAATAAAATAAAGTTAAACAATTAAAATAGTACTTAAAAAATTGAGATTAATAAGTTAGTCTATTTTATTAAGTAATATCAATTTAATATCATCAATATTATAATAAAAATATATATATTATATTATAATAAAAATATTATATATATAAATGATATATATAATTATATATTTTTAATATTTTTTAATTAATATTAAAAATATTTTTTTTAATTACAAAAAAAATTCATATAGATTTCAATTCAAAATAAATAAAAAGATTTCATTGATTTATATAAAGTCATAAAAAATCAAATAGTCTTAATTAAATAATTGGATTTTATTTCTGTTTCAGGAAAATGGTTGTCTATATTCCCATATAAGATGGGGCGAGGCTTTCGTAATCGTTTACAGTGTAACATGCAAACGAAGTTTTCAGGAAGCCCGTGGATTGTTAAAGCAACTGGCTGATTTACGTCTGCCATCCTACTTCACTGCTCTGTTGCTCGGCAATAAGAGAGATCTGGATCATGCTCGGTGAGTGTGTAATATGTCGTGTGTAATATGTAAGATTATATGTCGTAGAGAACAACCAAGTGAATTAAAAGTCACAACCGCCGAGGAGAATTATAATTTAAAATATGAATCGATAAATAATGTGTCTCGAATCCTATTAAAAATATCGTGAAAAGAAAATATGTTATTAAAGTTGAAAAAAATTGTAAATATAAGATATTGCAAGATAAATATCATTGATAGACTTTGTCACATTGATAAATGAAATAATGTAAAATTAAATATGATGAAATGACTTGACTGAAAATGTTATAACTCAACTATGATATCAAGTGGCAAACTGATATAAGAATAATAATATCAGAATAATAATAGAATAATAATAATATCAATTGATTTATTGTTATTTTTACATGATATTTGGTATATTTTTTGAAATCATGAAAACATATCTCAATAGAAAATAAATTTACAATTTAATCAATATTTAATCTTGTATAAAATGAAAATAATATTTTTAAAAATTGAAAAAGTAATTTTCAATTATAACTTTCAATTAACTTCATTAAAGATTAAATTTTTATTCTTTAATGAATAAAGTCTAAAAAATCTTTGTTATTTTTATAATAATAGTAAGAATAACAGTTTTAACATTATTGTTTTATTTTTTATTTATTTTTTTTTTATATTTAATTTAGAGTTTGGAGATTAAATTTAATTTGAACTATTATTGAAAGAATAAGAAAAATGGGTTTTAATTTAATATAATTATATTAGATTATATAGATTTTTATATTATCATGTAATTATAAATACATTATGAATATATTTATAATATTTATATAGATTTATGAATCCACATATTCAGTTTCAATATATCTATAAATAATACTTGCAATTATATAAATCTATATAATCTATTCGATTAACAAATAATGATTTCATCGATATTTACATAAGACGCTGTTTTTAAATCTAAAATATATGATCATTCAAATTTTCCAAAGCATCAATCTCTCGTAACAGAATCGATCAAAATTATCCCCAATTAATCGAATTGTTGCGATTTGAATTTCATTAAGAAATTATTAAACATAATAAATACAATAGATAATGCACTGAATTGTTTCTCGTGTGCGGCTCATTGTCCCGAATCGTCGACACATTTTTTCTTTGACATCTTTTGATTGTCATTTAATTGCTGGTTTTTGTCCATGCTAATGAAAGTATTGCGTTATTATTGGTCGTTTGCTATTTCCCACGAACTCGAATACTCATTGATTTTACGCTTGTCATGTGTATTATATGTCGTTAGAATTGTGAAAAAAGAATTGTGTCATTAGACTAGGATAAATGAATTATTTAATAATTATTACAGATTATTAGTGATAATTTGAAAGTTTTTGAAACTAACATAATTGAAGATATTTTTTTCATTTTTTCTTTGTGATGATGATTTGTGAAGAATTAATTAATTTTTATTTTTCTACATTTTTTTTCATTACTTTTCTCTTTTTTAACATAAAAAATGATATATTATAGATATAAAAGATATATTATATTATATTAATAAAAACATAGGAAAAAATATCATCACATTTATCGAATAATATGAACTTCGATAGAAATAGGATACTTTTAACATTCGTAACATTTTATATGTCATAATGTAACTATTTAATTACTTCTTTATTTTTATAAAATGAATTATTTCATAATAATATTTTCAACGATATTTTTTATGATTTAAAAAGAAACTATTGAAATAATTTATATGAATAAATAAAGATTTAAGTTTTATTTTATAGCATTTATTGATTTTGGAGTAAACATAATGATTGTATCGTATATTTATTAAAAATTTATTAATTGTAGTGTCACTCTTTAATGTTATTTAATTTATGTTTACTTTCTATTTTAGTATATTTTCAAACAATTTAATTAATTTTTATTAAATTGAATTTTAAAATATTCAAATAGATTTTAAATATTTATATTAATGGTGCTATATAATTTATTAATATTTATATTAATATTTATATTTAATAGTGCTATATTTTGTATTTATATTAATATGTGATACATAATTGCATATATTTAGTCGTATTGAATTAACTAGATTAATATAATTTAAGTATATATTGAAAATGAAAATATTTTTTATATTTCAAAAAAAGTAAAAGAAGAAATTTAAATGAATATTTTTTTTTATTTTATTATTTGAACTACATTAGGTTTAAAATTATTCGAAATTAATTTCAGAAATCTAACATAATCTATTTTGTTATCATTAATCATTCTACGATAACTTTCCTCTGTAATTAAGTTTTTTTATAAATTAAATTTCTATAATTAAATTTCTATAATTAATTTTTTAATTATTTTTTAATTCAACTTCATAAAATATTTATGATAATTATTTTTATTATCTATTTCTATTAATTGTTTATTATTATTACATTATGAAAAAAATTGAAATTTACTTCTATTGAATATTAGATAGAGATATAAATAACTGGAATATTTATCCGCTAGTGAAAGTCTCGAACTGATTTTTCTTTTGAGTTCATTGATCACAAACAATGTTATTCGAAATATCTAACGGTTTCTATTTTTAAATTTAAAATTTTTTTTTCATTTTTCACGAGATGGAATGGAATACTCTCAAAGAAATCGAAATATAATGAATTCAAGAGTACCATAGAGGGTTAATTTGATGCTTTTTGTTCCTGTCATCCATAGACATTGAAACGGAATATCGGAATAACGAAATTGCACGGAATACTTAACGGTATAGATGCTCAAGAGTACTAGTTCGCAATTCAGGTGACAAATTACAGTCAGAGGTCTTTAAGAAATGAATATCACATTGATCTTTCTTTTTTATTTATATTAATGAATAATTTTACGTAAAATACTATGTTATTATCAATAATATATTTTTATGATATATAAATAATAATCTAATTTTTTATACGTAAATATTAATGTAATGATATATATAAAACTAATATACATTATTTTTTTGAAATATATATAATTTATCAGAATTTTTTATACATATATCATATATATATATATATATATATATATATTATATACATTTATAATATATATTTTAGTTATATTATAATTAAAATATATATAAATATTATTTAATATGTCAAAAAAATATATAATATAACAAATACAAAATTTATATACGATGACAAATTCACTTCACTATGAACTTTATCTCTTTCTCAATATTTAATTTCAACTGTTAGTCATTATCACTTATCAATTTATATTCCATACTTAAGATTTTAACATTATAAGTTTAATATTATAAAATTATCGAAATAAATAAAAAATAAACGATATTAAAAATTTTGAATATCGATAAAAATATTATATTAACAGCGCCATTTCTTCAATGATATTCTTTATTTAAATTAATTTAAATAACAATTATTTTTGGTTTTTAATGAAAAATTTTTCAAAAACTTTTATATTTGTCTATTTTATTTATTTACATTGAATACATTATTTACATAGAACATCTATCGATATCTGCTAAACAGATATATTCTTTACTATATTATTCTATGATATTCTACAAATTTGTTTAGAAAAATAACAATTATTTTTGATGTCTTGACAATAACAAAAATATTTTTAGAAATTTTTACATTTGATTATTTTATCTATTTAAATATCTATCGATGGCTTATATATATTATTCTTCACCACACCTTATCACCATCTAATTCTTCCCATTTCCTTCTCAATCGCATAAAATTCGTGCCATAATATCACAACTCTCTTCGATTTCGGCCTATTAATCTAACAATTCACTTTCCCGATATTAACTTTGCGTATACTTCTCGCGTGTATCCGGTAACAGGATCTTCGCGAAACGTTTCCTAGACGAGACAAGATTTCACGTGCGCCACGCAATTCGCAGTCTACCGTCCTTGTTTTTTTTTCCTATCACCTGCTCTCTCATCACGCCTCCTCTCGCGTGATCCACACACGCACATTGTCTATCCACAGACTTGGATCCGTGCCTGGTGGCGTGAAACGCGAAACGAGGCGCCACATCGACCGCACTCTCCGACATCAGAGACCATTTCGAGCACGACACCCGGTAGTGGTCGCGATTGCTCTCTCATCTAGAAACTGTTCACGCGATCTTCGCCCGGACATCGATCTGTTTACGCGCGCGAATCGTCCAACGATCGGTTGGCCGACTTGGACGAGCGAGTTAGACGTGTTCCGATCGGTGGTCTATACCAGCGGACCGATTTAGACCCCGGATTCTTCACTTGTGGGTCGAGACCTCTAAGTAGTTGAATGGTTGGCGACTCTTTTGAGATGTTGCTGTGTCTTTGGTTAAGATTATTTTTGTAAGAAAGACCTTTTTATAAAATTTCTTGCATTTCTTTCACTAGTTTTACTCTTTTGAATTCCTCTAAGATATAAAGTTTAGCGTTGTATTTAGAATATTTTTAGATTTATTAGATAAGCATAAATGTCATGAAAGTTCGAGTGATAATCACCATAAATATAAATGGAAATTTAAATTCTTCATTTATAGCTGAGAACTTGGATATTTAAATACTGATGATCAAACTTATCATAGATATTTTTAATTAATTTTCATAATATCAAGAGATATAAGTATATATAATTTTTCTTTTTTTATTATTTATTATATATTTTTTAATTTAGGATGTAAAGGAATTTAAATGTTGTTTTTTTTTTTTTTGATTTAAATAAAAGAATCTGAATCAAGTCTGAATAAGAAATAAAAATAGAAAATCATGAGATTTGCATATAATTTAATTAATATATATATGCAAAATATTCTAAAAATAATTCTTTTAAATTTATAATTATAGTATATAACATATTTATTTCTTTATCTAATTTTTTTTCTATCTACTTTACTTACATATACATTTAGCAACAATTATAATAAAAAGAATATTAAATACGGAATATAATTGTATCCTATTTAATATGAGATTATGAAGATT